ATTGCCACTAGTCCATCCTTCAGTTAATAGCTTTGGGTCACATGATTGACACCATGAATAATAGGTATTATATCTATAGCAGATTGAACATTCCCCATATTCTTTGTTTCTTTCACTTGAATAATCATCATTTTGAAGAGTTCCAACTTCCATTCGTCATATTGGGAATATGTGGTTAGGAACTTCTCTGATCAAAATTAAGATTTTTGCATATATTAAGGGTTGCAATTGGTGAGAAAATTTGCTTAGTATTAGCACAATAATGAGATACAAGAGAAAATTTAAAAACATGTATAACATAATTTTGCAGGGACCCGGTCGGGGAAATTTATATTAATATTAATGTTAATATACGAACCCACATTTTGCTAGATAATATTAATAATTTCGTGTTACCAAAGTTTAAAGTTGTAACATATTATTATGTGTTCCACTTGTTCATATATATATGATATGCTAAAAAAAAATTTTTTTAAAAATGGAAAACACTTTAAATGAAAATAAACATCCTGATGATACTTCTACTGACAAAAATGATGATGAATATTCAAGGGAAAGAGACAAAGAATATGGAGAATGTCCAACTTGCAATAGATATAATACCTATCATTCATGGTGTCAATCATGTGATCCAAAACTATTAACTGAAGGATGGACTAGTGGTAATGAAACACTAGATGAGTTGATTAAAAGTACACAACTTAAAGCAACTGCATATGGTAATGATTTTTATCTTCAATGGATTCCTTATAATGATTTAACAAACATTGAAAAGATGGGTGAATGTGGTTTTGCAACTATATACAAATCTACCTGGTTAAATGGTTATAAAAGTGTAAATTATCATTATAACAAAAGAACTAGTAAGGATTTGATTGTGGCATTAAAAAAATTACATAATTCACAGAATGTTACTAATGAATTTCTTAATGAGGTGAATTATTTTATTTATCTATTGGTTTTCAGATTTTTCAAATTATTATTTATTACTTTCTCAATTTCAATATATTTTTTTTAGTTCAGAAACTATGTTACATTTTATGATAAATCATTTATAATTAAGATTCATGGATTAACACAAGACCCAGCTACAAAAGAATATATCTTTGTAATGGGCTACATAGAAAATCGAAGTCTTCAAAATTATGAAGACCCATATATTAGAAACAAAGAATATGGGGAATGTACAACCTGCAATAGATATAATACCCATTATTCATGGTGTCAATCATGTGACCCAAAGCTATTAATTGAAGGATGGACTAGTGGCAATGAAACATTAGATGAGTTGATTAAAAGCACACAACTTAAATCAACCAAGTATCATT